AGTTCAACTAATCGCGGCCCTTGCACGCAACTCCCCTTGCCTACTTCTGTCGCGCAAGGGTCAGGGAGAAGGGAAAATGAGTCAGGAGAAGAAATCGGGAGGAACATTCGAAGCTCAGGACTCCCTCGACCGAATGAAGGAAATAAAAGAGGTGTAATACGTTGGTTTTGGACAGTGGCAGAAGATTAGAGAGAGTTAACTAAGGATTAATTAGGTTAATTAAATATATAACTTCAAATATCTTTCAATCCATTTATATTTTACAGACAATGCTTTATATGGAATTGATCGATTTCTCGCGTAGAATTTTATAAAATTTGTTTTGTTTGAAATCCGAGAGGTGAGAAAATTGAGGTACAATTTAAGTCACCGAATTTTTTTTTTGATTCCTCAAAAATTGGTTATTTCACTTGGTAATTAACAACTACATACTTTTTGTTTGAGATAATTTTATTATAATAAAAAATGGAAATATTAATCAAAATATTGCTTCATTAGTCAAGATCAGATGCTTAATGGAGAAGTTTCTTAGGAGTATTATGTGTAAGAAGATATGAGTGAGAGTTGAAGCTAAATTTCATAAAATTACAATGTCAAGGTGTATATATCATGGTATTGGGCTATGAAAAACTAATTGGTAGCTAAGGTGAGCTTGGCGGACATATAATGTCAATATAAATGCTTAGTAGTGCTAAGAAGTATAAAATCGTGGAGTGATTATATTAGATGGACAATTAAATAAATTAATTATAAACTAGTTGAATCAGGTTTGACATGTACATCTAAGGTTAAAAAATGCATCAATTAACAAATATATAAAATTAGTCCCAAGGATTATGAAGGAAAAGTGGGTATATCTAAGCTAATACTTGATTAGAAATTGTTGAAACAGACTTGTATAAAGTGTTTTAAATGCCTCATGCAATGTTCAATAGGAACAAATGAAAAATAAAAATTCAAAAAGCCAACCCAAGGTATTAATGAGTTGCCTTTGTGTGTAAAAGATGTTATGTATTTTTTAGAATTGCTTAAAGCATGTTGTTGACAAAAAATTACCGACTTCCCATACACATTCAAAGAGAAATGCAAGTTTATCTTGAGGAATACTTTCCTAGGAATGGAATTTTGACACACAAATTAAGCATGCATGGAAGAAAGGATGGGATTCAAGTTCCAAGGATCCATTTCACTTCAATTATGGAAATACATTGTGTTTTCTGGCTATATTTGCTGACTAGTGGCTTGTTTGGAGCTTATGTCGCCTAGTGAGACAACTTAATAGTGGCATGTGGGAACTACTTGTGTGAGCTCACCAAGCCACAATCCCATGCTGAGGATCCCAATCATACCCACATGAATCTATTTTTGGGTTCCATAGATGAGGCCCAAAAATGGGGAACTTTATATCCCAAAAATGCTATTGATCTCAGATTAGTCCCGATCATCCGATCATGTGTATTAAGGTTCATTCTTTTGCGCTATCCTTGTAATGGTGGCTGAATAGTACAATTGTACTTTTGAATCTATATCACCAGCTCACTTCAATATTGATGGTGACTCTACCATCAAGCTTAATGGAATCAATAATCTCGAGGCTTCAACAAGAATTAAGTTATGCAAATCAGATCATAATCAACACTAATCTTGAAGGCATCCAGCAGGCTGATTTAGATCTTCTCTACCAAAAATATTCTCAAAATCTAAGGTTTTCGTTTATCCATCCACTAGGCTTTTAGTATATGATGGTCCAGTTCCTATCTTGTATTGAAGATAGTGGTCTTCTTATTCACTCTCTCGAATGTGGAGGACAAAAAGATCCTTATGTGAGGGACTTTTACATCCAACTCATTTCTTTTAGATGAGTGTCTCTTTCTATTATCCATTTAGCCAAATGTATCAAAGTTCTCTCTATCGAAATAGCTTGAAAAAAGCTTAAAAGGAAGATAACCTTTTTGGAAATTTTCCCAGATTTATTGAGCCACTCCCATCCTTTTATTTGCATCCTAATGGCTTCACTTGAATAGAGATTTGAAGGCTAATACTCTAGAGAATGAAAAAAATTTTGATCTTCTTTTGGATGTTTTACGCTATGTGATGCCATTCATTAATGAAATATGATCCCATTACATTAAAA